GAAAACGACAACCGCGCCCTCAGCCACCAGCCCGCTTTGCGCACGCACCTCCGCACCTGAGTATTTTCCACACTGCGCCTCCTCTGAGCCTCGGTATGCTGTTGTCTTTCCTTCTAGTTGAAGAGTCCCTCCTCAGCCAGCCTTCCTGTGGTTCTGGGTGATGTCCGTTCCGTCTTTTAGTTGTATTTTTGAAGTGGTTGCGGCAGCAGTCTCCGGTGTTTACCTATGCCGCCATCTTGGTCTCTCCTCTCTTGTCTGTTTATTTAAAGTATCCTGCCCAGCCAGTGTAGCTCAGTGGTTAAGCATCAACCCAGGAACCAAGAGGCCGCTGGTTTGATTCCTGGTCTGGGCACATGCCCGGGGTTGTGGGCTTGGTCCTCTGTGGAGGGCGTGCAGGAGGTAGCCAATCGATGATGTTTCTCTCTCATGGATGTGTGTATCTCTCTATCCCTCTCCCTTCCTCTCTTTCTAAAAAAAAAATCAATAAAAACATATTTTTAAAAATTAAGTATCAAATAAATAAATAAATGTCCTTATTTTTCCCCTTCGACTCCACCCCAAGATGAGCCCCACCCCTCACTTCTCCTCCACCCCAATTTAGTAGGACACATCCCCACCCCGAGTACATTGGGAAAGAACCCCAATGCCGGGTGCTCTACACGCTCCTTCCCGGGCGGGGAGAGTCCGGGGAAGGAGAGACCCTGCAGCCCTGGCGCCAATCTTTCCATTCAGTGCGCCTCTCCCCCCGTCCCCACGTTCCCGGGTCGAAGCTGACACGGGAGTGGGCGGAGCCGAGTGCCTCTTGCTGCGGGAGCGGCAAAGGCTTCTTAAGGTGGAACAGAACTGTTCGGTGGCTGGGCCTCAGAGTAAAGGGTGTGACCTTCTGCTTCTCAACCTTGCTTTCCACACAGTGTCTCATCGCTGTCCCCTAGCCTTAGTTTTAGATTTATTATTTTTTTTTTGCAAGAATAAACAGGTTAGGTAGAGGATATAAAGTTAAATTAGTAAAACTTAAAATAATAGTTATGTAAAGGAAATACAAACTGGAGAGAACTTTTCCCTTATGATTTAATCCCTTCTGTGTTCCATTCTTCTGAGATGGCCTTTTACAGTAGCAGCTAGGATTTTTCCTGATGTGCAAATGTGAGCTCAACTTTTGTTGGATAAGTCTCTCTAAATGAACCATTTTGTGCCTTCCGTTTATTCTCTCCCTCCTAGATCTGACTACAGCCATTAAGGAAGCAAGGACCTTGTGGCAGCGGCTGAGGGGACCTCCTGTCCTTTTACCACGAGTTCCCTGTAGCTGGCAGAGTGGAGGTGGTATATTTCCTGGGCTTGCAGTCTTGTCTCTGGCTCAGTCTTCTCATTTATAAAATGGGCATAATAATACCTACCTTCTAGTTTAGTGCGAATACCAGAAGACATAATGTAAATAAAAACACGTAACCTGAAAAAAAAAAAAAATCAATAAAAACATATTTTTAAAAATTAAGTATCAAATAAATAAATAAATGTCCTTATTTTTTTCAAGATATGTATTGAACAAACTATAGATTGACTAACCCAGGTATTTATGGGCTCTGAGCTCTTGGACATGATGCATAATAAACATCCTGCCAACTCTCAATTATTAAGAATTCTCTATTACATGGTCATTAAAAACCTCAATAAACCAACCAATCAAAACTTTAAATGTGCTTTTCTGTCGTGTCTTAGATTAAAACATATGAGGTAGGGGGAGGGATTAGGGTGGGGTTTCATATTTCTGAGGATATTTTTTGATAGCTGTATACAACCTTTTACATTGTAATTGCACATGTGTAATTTCCAGTAGGCTAATAACAGTAATAGTCGTTTCTATAAAAGCAAACAAAACAGAAACAGCCAGAAAAAACTTGCTACTTTGGGGTAAGTCACTTCTAATTATTTTTATAGTGAAAAATCCCTTTATAAAGTAGGCAGTTTGAGTTTGCCTATAGTTTCAGTTTAGAATCTTGTGGATTGAATTTCCTTCAAGTGGGGCTCACTGGAGACTCCCCAGGGGCCTAGTGATATCAAAATTTGAGTCGAGTCCAGGTTCGTGGTCTCGCAAAATCGAAGAATGAGTTTCATGGACCAAGAGGTAAGCAGAGGTTTTATTACAGAAAAGCTCCCTGTAGCAGGGCGGGGACCTGAGCCGGTTATCGCAGAAGCTCACTGCTGTAGGGGTTTAAATTGTCCTGCTCTTGCCCTCTATTGGCTCTTTCAAAGAAACACCAGCCAATCTCCTTTTGCCCTCATCTCCCCACTTTTGGTTCCCGCTTTTGGGTTCAGGAGGGAGGGAAGCTCAATGGTTGACTGTCACATTCCGCCTATCTTGCTCACATCCTGGCCATCTGGTTTATTTCCTCCTTATCTACCATCTTCTCTCCCCATGGTCCTTACCCTAAACTGCCTGATCCCGTCTAACTCCTCACCAGTCCATCCACCTTTCCCCCCTGCTATCCCACACTAGGAGACCAGCGATTTCTCCATAGCACTCTCAATTCTTGCAGATAGATCCCTGCAGTGTTTGAATTAAAAACCTCCCAGTCTGTTCCATTTGCCCAGTGGCTTTGATACAGGCCCTGCCAGGGCTGGGACTAGAGGCCCCTTAACTTGGAAGGAAACACCACAGCCAACGGCAAGTGCTCACAAGACAATAGAACTATAGCACTTCACTGCAATACACTTTGCATCCTTGAGCACTCAAGGGGGTAACCTTAATGAGCACAAAATATTCATCTCTAATAAGAACATGCTGTCATAATCACCCTACATGTGATAAATGTCCTAGAGGTTTTCTCTTTGTTAGGTTAATGCTTTTCCACAAGGTAATTTAACCAATTCTCTAACAAATAATCACGTTATCA